AGGGTTTTTACCATGAATGCGTATATGACTTTGTCAAATGCTTTTTTCTGGATATATTGAGATGATCATGTGAGTTTTGTCCTTGCTTCTGTTAATGTGGCATATTATATTTATTCACTTCCATATGTTGAACCATCACTGCATCCATGAGATGAATCCTACTAGGTCATGGTGTATAATCTGCTTGATGATTTACTGCATTCTGTTTGCCAGTATCTTATTGAAAATTTTTGCACCTGTGTTCATTAGAGAGCTTGGCCTGTAGTTCTCTTTTTGCTTGGCTCCTTCTCTGGTTTTTGGTAGCAAGGTAATAATTGCTTCCAGGAATGAGTTTGGGAGTATTGCCTCCCTTTCAATTTCATTAAAGACTTTGAGGAATAGTGGTAAAGTTCTTATAAAATTCAGCAGTGAATCTGATTGGTCCTAGGCTATTCTTTGGTTGTTTTCGTTTGTTTCTTTGTTGTTGTTGTTTGTCTTTTTGAGACAGGGTCTTGCTATGCAGTTTAGGCTGGCTTTGAGCTCACTTTGTAGGCCAGGCTGGTCTCAAACCTGCAACGATCCTCCTGCCTCAGCCTCTTGAGTGATGGGATTATAGGTGTGTGCCACCACACCCGACTTGTTCTTGGTTGTTGTTTCTGTTTTGTTTCAGAGACAGGGTCTCACTATGAAGTTCAAGCTGGTTTTGAACTAACTCATATGGCCCAGGCCGACCTCCAACTCATAGTGATCCTCTTGCCTTAGGCTCCCAAGTGCTGGGATTACAGATGTGTGTCACCATGCCTAGCCTTAGGCTTTTCTTTGTTGGTAGGTTTTTTTTGGTACCGGAAATCAAACTCAGGACCTTGTGCTTGGTAGGCACTGTGCTGCTGATTTATATCCCCAGCCCTGTTGGTAGGTTTTTTATTACTTCTTCAAATTCATTGAGTGATACTGAGTTATTTAGAATTCCAATATATTCTTGATTCACCTTCAGTAATTCATATGTATTTAGGAATCTGTCCATTTCTTCTGCATTTTGCATCTCCTTAGAGTACAGCTTCTAAAGTATTTATTGATGATGTTCTGGATTTCTGCAGGATCCATTGTGATTTCACCCTTTTCATTCCTAATAACATGGATTTGAGTCTTTTTTCTCTTTTTTTTGATGAGTTTGGCTAAAGGGTGTTTGTTTTATTTGATCTTTGAAACAACCAACTCTTTGATTCATTGATTATTTGTATTGTTTTCTTAGTCTGAATTGTATTAATTCTTGTTCTGCTATTTATAATTCCCTCCCTTGTATATACCTTGGGTTTAACTTGTTTTACTCTTTCTAGAAGGTTGAGGTTCAGCATTAGGCTATTTATTTGAACTTGCTCAGTTTTTCTGATGTGGGAATTCACCGCTATAAATTTCCCTCCTAGGACTACTTTCATTGCATCCCATAAGTTCTGGTGTATCATGTGGATATACAATCTGGTGTGTCATATTGGCATTATTTAATTGTAGAGACTGTCTAATTTCTTCTTTAATTTCATCTGTGACCCGAACACTTTGTTCGGGAAAGTTTTATTTAATTTCTGTGTGTTTAAGAAGTTTTTGTGGTTTCTAATATTATTGCACTATAGTCTGATCACCCCTGGACAATCTTGTATTGGCATACAAGGGAGAACAACTGATCACACAACTATATCACCTTAACTAAAGTAGTACAATCAGTGATAACAATAGCCTCAAGCACAGTCTAAAAAATGACAAAATGTGGTAACTGGTAATTTGCCACCTTTAACCATAGGTATGAGATTTTATAGTTATATAACCAACTCTAAAACAAATGAGAAAATAGTATATTGTAGATATCCATTCAATGGAGAGATTTTACCCATAGAGGACAAAATTTAAAAGGGATAAGAGGGAAAAGTGCAGAAATAAAAGAAGAGAAATAGATTAGAAGCAAGACTGAAAGACAAAGATTACTCAAGCTTTGGGAAACTGGTAAGGAAGACAGGAAGAATGAAAGAAGAAAAGAACAAAAAAGGAACAAAACAAAACAAAAAACACTAAAAACATTGCTTACATTCATTAAAAATCAAACAATCAAAAAAATTAAAAGCAAAGAAAATAGAAAAAAAGATTTCTCTGTTATTTCAAGCCTGTGGTCATCTTCTAGGGCCTATAACTTTATGGTAATATCCAATTTAGGGCATGTCTCTGCTGTCACTGGTAGACAAAGAAGGTAGACACATCCCAGATTCATGCTGGATGATCCCACCAACCCTGAAATGGGCATAGGGTGGGGTGCCAATTCTGGTGTTCCCAACTCCATAGAAGTTTAAGCTGACCCTGGCCTCTGGCTGTGGGGTTGGGGCCTGAGTTGTTCAGCCTACAACACTCTGGGTATCTCTTGCCAACTTGACCCTAGTTCTGGGATCCTGGATGTCTCCCACTGTTGTCCCTCACCCAGTCACTGGCAGCCCTGAGACGAAGCCAATGAACAGCTGCCCCAAGTCCCAGGTTTATTTGGCCCCTCCCTAGAATGCCATCTGGGGACTTGGGAGACACTTGAACTTGAGTCTTTCCCCAGCTGCTGTAGCTCACAGCATCCAGTGCTCCATTTCACTGGCGGGTTTCTTCCTGGAGACTTCTGGAATCACCCACCCTCACTGTGTCTATAGATCTGAGCCTTCTCTCTCATGCTGTGAGCTGGGAGTCAGGGAGAAAGTGCAATTTGTTGCCTCCTTTTTCTCCGTTGAGGTCTGTTACTTCACTTTCCCTGTGGGCTCCTATTTTCCCTTCAGATCCTTCCTGAGTCATGGGGATCCATCTCCCTCCTTTTCTTCCCCCAAGTTGTCATATTCCAGTGTCTGGGTTCCAAATCTCAGAGAGGCTCATTTGCTGTTGTTTACTGCTCTGCCATTTTCCCAGAATCCCCCAAATAAATTTTAAAATGAATATTAATAAGGCCTTCAAGAATCCAACTGGGGTGCCAGGCATGGTGGCACATGCCTGTAATCTCAGCACTTGGAAGGCTGGCCAGGAGGAGCACCACAATTTCAAGGCCAGCCTGGGCTACATAGTGAGTGCAAGGCCAGACCAAACTACATAGCAAGACCCTGTTTCAAAAAAACAACAAATTTTGATGGTGATTTTGATGGGATTTTGACGATGACTTCACTGGAGGAATTGACATTTTATAAATTATTCCAGTTAAGTCCTTGGACTATAGTATTTGTTCAGTACCCCTCTATTACTTTTTTTTTTTTTTTTTTCTTCTTCAGCATGGGATCTAGCTAGGTAGCTGAGGCTGGCCTTGAAATCTCAGTCTTCCTACCTTGGTCTCCCAAGTTCTGAGGATACAGGTGTGTAGCACCACACCTATCTGTGCAGTTTTTGTTTGTTTTTCTTTCTGTCTTGTTTTTGGCAGGACTGGGGATTGAACTCAGGGCCTTATACTGGGCCCTGTGCACATTGATACCTCCAGTTTATCAGGCTGTAAATGCATAGCCTGACCTGCATGTCTTCCCACAGCCCTATGTGAATGTTTGGCCACCCCACCCCTTTAATATACAAGAGGTACCATAGTATGTATACTCTTACACACGTTGCCTTTTTACTTTTAATTACATATCCTGGAGATTATTCTATACCAGAACATTATAGAGTTTCTAGTACTTAGAAAACCATCATATGAAAGATCATAGAGTCCTGCTGCAAAGTGGTAAATCATGTGGATATACAATCTTATTTAATGACTATAGTGCCACATTGCTGGGCACTTGGAGTGCTTTCAGTCTTCGCTGTTACAAGTGGTGCCACAATAAATAGACATTTCATACATACAGTGATATTGCTGTAGGATAAATTCCAAGAACTGCATTTGTAACATTGGCAGATATTGCCGAAAATGCCCTCTGTGTTGTACCATTTTGCATTTCTACTGGCAATGTGTGAGTGTATCTGTTTCACCACCACCTTACAAGCAATGAAGTGTTTTCTTAGACTTTCAGATTTTGACAATCTAATAAATGAGAAATGGTATGCCAATGTAGTTTTAATTTATATTTCTGTCTCTCTCTCTTTTGGTTTGTTTATTGAGACAAGGCCTTGTTATGTAGCTCATGCTGGCCTTGATCTTACTATGTAGTCCAGGCTGGTCTCGAAATTGTAGCAATCTTTCTGCCTCATCCTCCCAAGTGCTGGGACTACAGGTACGCATCACTGTGCTGGCTTATATTTCCCTTTATTATTAAATTAAGAGGTTTTTTTCAGGTCTATCTTTCTGTCTTCCTCTATGAATTAACTTATATCCTCTCTCCATTTTGCTGTTGGGTTGCTGGCTTTTCTTTGACTTGTCAAACCTTGTTATATAATTAGAAACATCACCAAGATGTGTGGGGTGGAGTACGAAGAGTAAAAAAAATTAAGATATGTTATGTACATGTACCAACTCCCCATGATAAATGTAATCATTATGTACTGCAAACATGTACTAATAAAAATAGAAATTTTGAAAATAATTATAATTAGAGATACACACTTTCTTGTTTTGAGATAGGTTCTTGCTATGTAGTTCAAGCTGGGTATGAATTCACTGTTTAGCCCAGGCTGGCCCCAAACTCACAAGGATACTCCTGCCACAGCCTCCAGAATGGTGGGATTACAGGCATGTGCCACCACGCCTGGTGCATTTTTTTGAGACATCACAACTTTGTCAATATTAGTTTTCATTTTGTTTTTCTAGTTTGTTATACTTTTGACTGTGCAACTGTATTTCTTCCAAGCAAATTTTATATTTATGTAAAATAATGTATGTATATTTTTAGTTGAGGTGTTGCTATGTGAGCCAAGCTGGTCTTCAACTCTTGGTCTCAAGTAATCCTCCTGCCTCAGCCACTTGAGTAGCTGGGACTATAAGCTTGTGCCACCATATCTTTTATTTTATGGATTCTAGATTTTGAGCCATGGCTTTGTGATATATTGCATTAATGACCCCAGTTTTTCATGTTTCTCTGTTTCTACAGTGCTTGGTAGTACCCTCGCACACCAAGATAGTAGCAAACTTGATATAACCATTGACTTGAGGAGCTCCAGTGGCACAATCAGCGCACAATACTTATGTAACCATTGACTTGCAAAAGCTCTGCTTCCTCTCTTGGACCTCTGCCACAGTTATAAGAACATACGTAAGTTAGCCTGCCAAACGGTTGTGAAACACATGTAGAAATGACCTTGGTCATCTCATCTGATGTGTCCTATAGCAGCCAACCTCCAGCTATACTATTAGCGGAGTACAGACACATGAGCTAGGCCAGCTGAACTCAAGAGAGCCTGGTTCTGATCATAGGAACTTCCAGTGGACCCATAGGCGAAGTTTTGGTACATACGAATTCAACATTTTACAAGGAACTATTGTGGCAGGAGTCTCCTATCACTGGTTTTCTTTTCCACAGCTATCTTGGTAATATTTGCTTATTATTTTCCCTTATGAACTCTTTTTTTGTCCTTTTCCTTTTTTTGTCTTTTTGAGACAGGGTCTCACTATGCAGTTCAGGCTGGCCTTGAGCTCACTTTGTAGCCCAGGCTGGTTTTGAACCCACAACGATCTTCCTGCCTCAGCCTCCCAAGTGCTGGGATTACAGGTGTGTGCCACCATATGCGGCTCCCTTATGAACTTTAGAATGTTTAATTATAAGATTAATAATTAAGTCAATAACCATTGACTTAATTGACTTGTTTAATTAAAAAAAAGAAAAATTGGTATTTTATATGAGTGTACACTAAATTTATAAGTTATTTTGAAAGCCAGGCATGATGGCATATGCCATCCAAGCTACTCAAGAGGCTGAGACAGGAGGATCACTCAATGCTAAGACTTTGAGAGAAGCCAGGACAGCATAGTAAGATTCTGTCCCATTCTCCCAAAAATTTAATTTCTAGCTCAATCTCTGGCACCTTGAATCCGCTTTCATCAGTTTCTGCAGTTCTTTGTCAGAACTCCTACTAGTCAAAATGATGAATAAATCAAGAACAAAGATCCTTTCCAGGAAACCGTGGCTGCTGCATGAAATAAACCTGTAGTAGTCAACTTCTCAGCCATGTGGTGCAGTACTTATGTACTGCAAAGTGATCAAGCCTTTCATTCATTGAAAAATATTGCAAAGTGTTGTTCTTTGAAGTACATGTGGATATCAGGACTTTGCTGCACAGTATAGGTCAAATGCATGCCAGCTTTCCAGTTTTTTTTAAAAGATCAAAAGATGGGTAGATTTTCTGGAACTAATAAAGAAAAGATTTGGTAGGATGTGGTGGCAAATGCCTATAATCTTAGCACTCAGGAGGCTGAGGCAGGAGGATTGCCATGAGTTTGAAGCCACCCTGGGCTACATAGTGAGTTTAAGGCCAGCCTGAATTACATAGTAAGACCCTGACTTCACAGAAGATGGCAGGGTGGTAAGCAGCAGAGAAATAGCCTCTCTGAGATTTAGTGTCCAAACATTGGAATATAGCAACTCGAGGAAGAGAAGGAGGGAAGTGAGTCCCTGGGACCCAGGAAGAATCTGAAGTGAGAATTGAAGCCCATGGGTAGAGCAGAGAGAGAAATTGCAAAAAAGAAGAAAGATGAGGCATGTGGCACTTTCTCCCTGAGTCAGAATTCACTGCATGGGAGGGGTAGCATGAAACTGTAGACCCATGGTGATTGCTGGTGATCCTAGAGGCTGCCACAGAAAATCACACCAGTGGAGCAGAACAGTGGATGCAGTGGACTGGAATGGACACAGTGGACTGTGGTGGCTGGATAAATTGTCCCTTTCAGACCTCCCGCAAAAGAGCAATTGGCCAGGGGCCATCTTGGATAGAGGATGAACTTGGGACTCAGAATAGCTTCTAGCTCCACCTAGTGGTTCCCAGCTGAGTTCAAGCCAGCAGTAGGCCCAGGGACTGCAGTAGGCTGGGGGGGGGTCTGGTTCCAGCTTCCCTGCCTGAGGCCAGCCCGAACTGGAGGGGAGATAAAGGTGCAGGCTCCCTGAGATAATCTACTACCCCACCATAAAGCTACTGTTGGCTTACTGGGATGAATCAACACAAAGCTGGACTCTGTCTCTACAGATGTCTACCAGTGAGAGCAGAGACTAACTTGGAAATGGACTTTTTTCCTCTCTTTTCTTATTTTTTCCCCTTTCATTGTTTGATCTTGTTTTTATGAGTGTGAATGTGGTTTCTGGTTTCTTTGTGTTTGTTCTTCTATTCTGTTCTTCCTTTTATTTCTTCCTTCTCCTTTTCCCTCCTGTCTTCTGCACCAGTTTCCCAGTTTGTGTGATCCTCCTCTGTTCTCCAGCATTGCTTCTACTCACCTCCTTTTCTTCTATTTCTCTGTTTTTCCCTCATCCCCTTTTAAGTTTTCTCCCCTGAGGGTTGGCATATTGAGGGCTTATTTTCTGCATACAATTCTCTGGGGTTTTTAAAGATTTTTTTATATAACTACAAAGCTAGTTCATATTGTTAAAGTTGATAAATTAATGGTTACCCCAGTTTGTCATTTTCTAGGATGTGTTTGATGCTATTGTTATTGCTTATTATACCACTCTGCCAAAGTGTTAGAACATAATGGTTCTAACCAACTGTTTTTCCTGGTATTCTAAGATGGAGATTGCTTAGAGGTCATAGAAAATGCTATGGGCCAGTGCCAAAAAACCAGGGGCTGGGCCAAGCAGGCAGCAATTTTCTGTCACCAATAAATTGAAGAGGTAGGATGTTCCAACAGACTCAAAACCCAGAAACTGGCTACACCTGGAAGACACCTCTGAGAAGTAGTCATTTCCTAAAGGTTTTAAATACTAACAATACACCTACTCACCATAGGCAATTTACAAGCATCAAACCCAGGAATTAAACTTAAAAACACCAGAAAATAAGAAAACACATAATCCAGACGCAACCCCAGACATCCAGTTCACCAAAGGCAAATCCAGGTGGCAATGATGTGGAACAATCCAATAGACATACACTTAGCCTCTCTGAAGTGGTAACAGCAAAGCAAATGAATGAGGCTCTAGAAAAAATCAAATCAGAAATAATTTCTCAGATAACTACAGAGATGGTGACTACAATGAAAAACATGCTTAGTGACTCTAGAGCAGATACAGATTTTAAAAACAAAGGAGCTTAGGAAAATGATGGAAAGCATGAATACCCAACATAGGAAAGAAATGGAATCCATAAAAGAGATTCAAGCAGATATCCAGGAGATTAAAATCTCCATTAAAATTATCCACAGCAGAATGATCCAATATGAGGACAGAATTTGAGATGTAGAAGACAGGCTTGTGGTTAGAGATCATGAAAAGAAAGATTTCTTAAAAATAGCAAGGGAGCATGAGAAATCAATCCAGCAGCTGCTAGATGATGTAAAGAATAACAAGGCTGATTGGAGTAAATGAAAAAGCAGGAGATAGCACAAATGATATAAAAAAAACTGTTCACAGATGTCATGGCACAAAACTTCCCAGGTAGCGAAAAAGAATTTGACATATAGTAACTGAGGCATATAGAACTCCAATTAGCCATGATCAAAAAACATCTACAGCAAGGCATATCATAGTCAAAATTCCAGAAACTCAACATAAGAATAGACTATTAAAAGCTGTTAAAGAAACAAATCACCTATGAAGGAAATCCTACCAGAATCACATCAGATTTCAGACTACAACTCCATGAACCCCAACAGAATGAATACACCCAGAAGGCAAACAATTAAACCGAGGGGGAAAAAGGGAGCCCAAAACAGGAAAATAACATAACAAGAATAAGTCAATATGTGTCAATTATAACCATCAGTGTTAATGGTCTCTATTCTCCAATCAAATGAAATAGACTGGCAGAATGGAACAAGAAACAAGAACCAAAAATATGCTGCATATAAGAAACACATTTAATTCAAAAAGAAGTCCATAGACTGACTGAAAGTCAAAGCATGGAAAATAATACTCCATGTGACAGGAACCTGGAAAAAAGTAGCAGTAGGTATTCTTTCTATTTGCAGACAAACTGGATTTCAAGTCAAGACTGATTAAGAGAGACAAAGATTGTCACTACATCCTTGTAAAGAAAGAGATAACAATCATAAATATACATGCAACAAATACCAGTGCACTCAACTATATAAAATAAATATTAACAGACATGAAAAATCAACTAAACACTAATACAATGGTAATAGGGGACCTCAACACCCCACTGTCACAAATAGATCAACTAGACAAAAAAAAGCAACAATGAAATATTAGAAGTGAACCACACTTTTGAACAAATTTACTTAATAGATGTTACACTTTCTTAGCTGTAAATAGGACATTTTCCAAAATAGACCACATACTAGCTCATAGAACATGCTTAAATAAGAGCTGAGCATGGTGGCACATGCCTGTAATCCCAGCATTCAGGAGGCTGAGGCAGGAGGATCATTGCAAGTTTGAGGCCAGTCTGGGCTACAAAGTGATTTCAAGACCAGCCTGAACTGCGTAGCGAGACCCTGTCTCAAAAAGACCCACCCCAAAAAAAAAACCATACCTACTAAAGAAATTGAAATTATCCTGTGCATATTATCAGACCATACTGCAATGTACTTGGAAATCAATGACAAAACAAACCACAAGATCTTCATAAAAACAGAAATTAAATAACACCCTCCTGAACAACCAATGGATTTGAGATGAAATTAAAGAAGCAGTTAGACACTTTCTACAATTAAATGGTAATGCCAATACAACATACCAGAAATTATGGGACACAATGAAAGCAGTATTACAAGGGAAATTTATACCAATGAATACCCATGTCAGGAAAACTGATTGATCTCAAATAAACAACTTAATGTTGAACCTCAGGCTTCTAAAAAAAAAAAGAGAGAGAAAGGAAGAGCAAGTGAAGCCCAAAGCTCCTAACAGGAAGGAAATTATTAAGATCAGAGCAGAAATCAATGCAATGGAGACTAAGATGCAGAGAATCAATGAATTAAAAAATTGGTTACATGAAAGATTAAATAAAATTGACAAACCCTTAGCCAACCTTCAAAAGGAAAAAGTAGACCTAAATCCATGCAATTAGGAATGAAAAGAGTGAAATTACAACAGATCCCACAGAAATCCAAAAAATCATCTATACCTACTTCAAGAATTTGTATTCTAATAAGATGGAAAATGCAGAAGAAATGAACAGATTTCTAAATACATATGAATTACCAAAGCTCAATCCAGAAGATATATATATTCTAAATAAACCAATATCAGTCAATGAAATTTAAGATATAATTAAAGTCCTACCAACAACAACAAAAAAGCACAGGCCCTGACAGATTCACTGCTGAAATCTACAAGAAATTTTGAGAAGACCTAATACTGCTACTTCTCAAACTCTTTAATGAAATTGAAAGGGAAGCAATACTCCCAAATTCATTTCTGGAAACAAACATTACCCTGATACCAGAGCAAGTTCCAG